GAGTCGCCATGATGCTCCCACTCCAGACAGACGCAGGTTAAGATCCTCTCTGGTAAGCCAGCTCATGGGCTACACAGAATATTAGAAATGGGTTAGAACAATATGTAAGAGCTAGCCAATAAGAAACTGGAACTAGCCGGGCCAGGCAGTGTTTGAAAGAATACAGTTTCCGTGTAATTATTTCTGGGCATAAGCTAGCCATGCGGGCAGCCGGGTGCCGGGGACGCAGCCCTGCCGCTCCTAATTCAACATGACTGGATATGCAAATTGATAGAACTGGTAAAATATGGAAATTTGTATGTCTGAATTTCCAGAATACCTCAAAACCCATAATTTGAAAATTATTATATCTACATATATGAATGATCACAGGAATATATATGCTAGTGATGATAAAAACTAACGTGATATTTTAGATGAAAACAAGATGTTTGTTTTAGGAAATGGTTTGAGAGATGTTCTGTTTTAGAGCTATAGTTTGGGATAACTATTAAATTTAGTCTTTCTACTTTTAGTTCATTGATGAGGTGCAAGTCTCAAGTTGGTGTAACTGCATGCTTTTGTATTTTCAGTGATGAATTGTCAAACAATACTTTTTTTTTCCTGATAATTTTCTGCTGGTCACAAGTATTTATCTAAAACCACACAAAATTGAAGCGAGCCAACTAATATCAAGCCCTGAGAAATATGGACTTTTACTCACAATGAGTTTACCTGTCTCAAATCGTTTTCTACGGCCTTTGCATCTGCAATCATTTTCCCGATTTCTGGGTGTTGAGTCTGTTCCACATTTTCACCGCATTGCTCCTCTCTTCTGCTCAGCTGCATCTTCTTTTGTTGAAACATAGACTCAGCATGTTCTTGCTTCTCACCTGGTTTCAAGGGGAACCTGAAGTATTAAAACATATTACAACTAATTTTTAGGAAAAACGTTCATTGTGGGATGTGATTTTCTTATACTAACAGACCAACTTCTTGATTTATTACCTTTCAAAATAACCAAATAAGTTGACTTGAAATAAAATTTCATCACCATACAATGTGCCAGATGTGCCTCAGATGATGTCATTGCAAAGGAGAACCTCCAGATGTTCACACGCTGGCTCTGTCTGTAGCCATAACCCAGGACCCAGAGGAGGAACTTAGTGTCCGTTATCGCTCATTCTGTCTGTTGCTAACACTTTAAGCATTTCAATATTATTTATTGCAAAAGAAGATTGATGATCTTTTGTGAACAATACATGACCTCCTCATTCAACAGCATTGTAGTTCATAGAAATATGAATTAATATTATCAATGTATGAAAGATATATACTGAAAAAATTAACCAGTGACCTCCATTTTCTTTTTATTTTATTTGTGTTAAAAGTACAGATGGGGCCCAGGTTCACGGCCTCTAGAGGGCTTGTAGTCATGGCTACCATTGTTGGATCCCTAGCAATGTAAATACGTAAATAATTCAAGAGTATAAGTTCAAAAATATTTGAGTTGAGAGATGATTCTTTCATACTCTTTGGCTGGATGAATATTAAGCTTTCTTTAGAAGAAGTAACTGTATTGATCCAAGCTTTAAAATTGATTCCTATACTTTGAACAAGTAATTATATATGGATGATTTTTCCAAAATATTTAGAAATTTAGAAAATAAAGTCCAAATGGTATTTCTTGCAGCATCAATTGAAACAGAAAGGTCTGAGAATGATCACAAATTCTCAGTCCTGAGTGAATAATGGAACTCAGCATAGCCACTTGAATTTCAGTTTTAAAAATTGTGAATTTATTTATTTAAAATGCCCATACTTAAATGAGTTGGTTACACTTTCCCCAATAATTCTACACTCCACAGGACTGAAAATGTTGTCCTCCTCTAGGGCACTAGACCTTACGCCAGCAATGATGAGAATTCTACTTCAGATCTACAACACAATATGATGGCTCAACTGTTTCTTCAAGACTAAGGTGTCACAGGGCTGGAGAGATGGCTCCGTGGAGAAGAACACTGGCTGCTCCTGCACAGGACCCGGGTTGGATTGCTAGCCCTCAGAGAGTGGCTAGGTCATCGGTAACTCCAGGTCCAGGCAATCTGATGCCCTCCCTCTTCTGGCCCCTGGGGGCACTGCATGCGTGTGGTACACAGATTCACATGTAGGCACACACACATATACATATAGCATGAAAAAAATTTAATTAAAAAACCAAATAAGACACCATGCCTCAAAGTGCAGAGGTCTTCCCATCCTCCTCTGTGTGGTAACCAGGATTTTATTTCTGTCTGTTCTCTCTGCACTCCGCTAGCCCTGTTTTCCATGTTCTCAAGTTTTCTTGTAAGCAGTTCGCAGTGGCTGTTCTTAAGCTCCATCAGTCTTTCATACGAATGAATCATATCCCAGAGTTTCAGCAGGCTGCTAGAGTCTGTATGAGAGAGGACAGCGCAAGAATAAATTACACACGAGCATATTTTGTACATAGGGACCACGTCTTCACGTCAGCCACTCATACGCTGAACAACAAGCACCATGTGCCTCTAACGAGGATCACGTAGGCTGGAATTCTGCAGATAAAACAAGCGAGACCTTGCGTGGTGGCCCTTCTCGGCCGGCAGCCTGACTACATCTGGGGTTGACTAAAAGCCAAATCAGTAGACACACCTGTAGCGTTTTTCTTAATTAAATAATTTGAAGTGGGAAGACCTACTTCTAATCCAGACCTTCTGAGGTGGGAAGATCCCCCTCTAATCTGGACCACACCTCCTGCTGGAAGCCGAAAGGAAGGATGGGGAGAAGGAAGCCCGCTCTCTCTTTGCCTGCCTGCTCTCTAGCAAGTCCACTCCTCCACTGGCGTTAGAGCCTGCGTCTTCAGGGTTCCAGCATATGCTGAGGGCCAGCTCAGACACCCAGCCTCATGGACTGAACAACCACTGGATTCCTGGACCTTCTGTTGGTAGACAGCCATTGTTGGACTAGCTGGATCACAACCTGTTAGTCATTCTAGTACATTCCCTTCATATAAATGTATTCATTCTATGAGTTCTGTCACTCCAGAGGACCCTGACTAATACACCTCATATTTGTTTAGTTTCAAATCTAGAGGAGAAATGACACAAAATGTGCATTATATATTCAGATAAATGAGCATTATATATTCAGATAAACACTGTAAGAGACAGTCCTATGATCACCTATGAAAATTAATATAAAATGGGCTCAAGGCAGATGTGTCAAGGAGGAAAAAGCTGCCCTGAGAAATGGAGGATGAGCTGGAGTCAGTGACATGGAGGAGGGGAAGCTCTCTAGCTGGTCCATTCGTTCATGGAGATTCCGTTGCAATCTACTTCCAGTCAAGGTGGTGTTACAGATACTGATTGCATTTCAACATGAAACAAGAAAACCAAAAGAGCCAAAATATTTTCTTTGACAATTATTAAGATAATGGATTATGAAGATAACAGTCTATGATGGACAGAAAGGTCTCCCAATGCCATCTCTCCCTGTAAAGAGAGGGCTCAGGCAGAAAACAAGGAGACCCAACTGATGTCGAGTCTCCTGGATTCTCTGTAGTGAGGGGGGTGAGTCTGCAGAGATCACAGGGCAGGATGCAGGAGGGAAGAGAGCAGTGTGGCAAGATGCTGCAGATCTGCGACCCCTTCAACAGCAGAGCATGACAACGCTTGTGCAGGAAGGATCTGCAACTGAAAAAAGCTTCCAGGGAACTGCAGAGCCCATGGACTGCCTGGACAGTGTCCATTCCCAGCAAACAATTGAATAAAATCTTAAGTTAGGGTACAATAGGTTAGCAACCTATCTACATTGCAGAGAACCGAAGGCTGTCTGAACAGGATTAGGAAGGGTGCAGCTGTTTAATGTAACTTAAGTATAGTGGTCTTGTTTTTTGTTTGTTTGTTTGTTTTCGAGACAGGGTTTCTCTGTGGTTTTGGAGCCTGTCCTGGAACTATCTCTTGTAGACCAGGTTGGTCTCGAACTCACAGAGATCCGCCTGCCTCTGCCTCCCAAGTGCTGGGATTAAAGGCGTGAGCCACCACCGCCCGGCAGTATAGTGGTCTTAAGTTTCTTCTCTATTGTGATAAAACACCATGATCAAGGCAACTTATAAAATTTTAATTCGGGGCTAACTTTCAGAGGGTTAGAGTCCACTGACGGTCATGGCTGTGAGTACAGTAGGAGGCAGGCACGGTACTGGAGCAGTATCTGAGAACTTATATCTTGAGACAAAGCCAAGAGGCAGAGCGAAAGAGACATACCAGGAGCCCCACAGCAGGCGTCTCTCTAAACCTCAAAGCCCAGCCTCAGTGACACACCTCCTCCAGCAAGCCACACCTCCTAGTCCTACCCAAACAATTCTACCAAGTGGCGGGGCAGGGTGTGGGGGAGAGGCAATTATCCTGTTATATGAGTCTGTGGGGACCACTCTCATCCACACTACCACACTCCGTCCCCTGGGCCCCACAGGACATATCATCATGCAAAAGTTCTTCCAGAAACATTCTGCCCAACACTGGGGCCAGGGTCCGGAGGAGACCAGAAGATCAGGAAGGAAGGGTCAAGTTGTTTAATGTGACTTAAATGTATCCCATATTAAAATTCAAAGAGAGGTAGACTCATGAGAGTCACCTTTTTTAAAAATTTAATTTTTGCTCAAACAAATCCAAATCAACAGGACCTAAACATCACGGCTGTGAAGAAGTTTACACTTGAACAAGGCATGTTCAAACAGTGTTGGTCTATGTAGACATTGTGTTTTTTGAATTGCACTGAGGTTTCACATAATCTGAAAAATTCACAGAACCACATACCATAGGAATATTGAAAAAACTTAGGCTGCATGTCATGAATGTATAAAACATACATTCAAAACAGTATATCTTATAATATGTTAATAAAAGAAAACATAGGAGGCCATAGCAAGCAGTTGATCGGAGTTATGGACATACTTCTGCCCCTAAGTGGTACGACTTGAAGTCAAGACATAAAAACTAAGGTAACAAAGCCACGTTCTCCAACTGCACTGCTGCAGTGACCTAACACTGCCTCCTGCTCTTCCTGCTGGAAGCCCCATGGGAGGGCATTTGCACACTGCAGAGGGCACCTCTCTAGAGCAGTTTGTCTTTCAGATTGGCGATTGCAATCCAAAGGACCTCTCACAGCTCTCTCGGCCCTTCTATGCTTCCCACACAGAAGCTGGGTCCGCCAGCCATTTGTGTTATCATTAAGAATTCCGTTCAACAACAGTTCCCTAGGAGTTCTATTTTAGAAGTCAAAGATGCTTGTAAATTTTGAATTGTCAGCGGTTGCTACTTCTATGTCCAGTAAAATGTTATTGAAGACTCAATAGATTCAAGTAATTATGTAGAATGAACATGATTGAAAACTTCAGAAAGACAGATTGTCAGGCTGAATAAAAAGTAGCTACATCTTTGCCCTGTAACAACAACAACAACAACAACAACAACAACTACCTCAGGGCTAGAGAGATGTTCAGAGGTTCAGACTACTGGCTGATTTTGCAGAAGGCCTGAACTGGATTTGCAGCACCCACCTGTAACTCCAGTTTCAGGGGATCTGATGCCATCCTCTGGCCTCTGCTGGCACCACACACACACACACACACACACACACGGTGAGCATACATACATTCAGGTATGCTCACATACACATAAATTCAGTTTCAAACTGCAATGCAGTGCAGGGCCATGAACTCACACCAACCCTGAATAAGACCTGAAGAAAGCCAAGATAGTCAACATTCCAGCATGGACGGGGAGGATACAGCCAGGAGGTTGTGTCCTGCCCAGTTTGTGCGTCCAGGGACAGTTTACAAACACAAGGCACAAAATTTGGTCACAGTGCCCAAAGAAATTCACAGACACCATCTGAAACCAGCCTACCCAGTAAGGGATGGAGCAGACAGTCCGTGGGACAGTGTGGAGCATAAGTATGTCTCCTCTTGTTAATATACCCACTAAGACCAGAAGAAACTGTTACAGGATTATTAAGTCAAAACAATTTAAGCAATGAGAAATGTGTTCCCTGAAGATAAAGAGATCAAATTGGAATTCAATGATTAAAAGTTAATAAACATTGACAAAAGTATCGAAAAGACCGTTTATTAAAGAAGATAAACAATTCAGGCCTAATGTGTGATTACTTTCTACTGTAAACTTCAGATAACATAGACTCACCAGGGAAGAGGGTGCGGGCATTCTGTATGGCATTGCCTTGATTGCTAATTGGTGCAGGGTGCAGAGCTTGCTGTGGCTTGTGCTGTCCCAGACAGGCAATCCAGGCTGTGTAAGAAAAGCTAGCTGAGTGTGACCCCATGAGAGTCAGGAACATTGTTGATGGATTGGGATCTAGAAGTGTGAGCTGGAATAAATCCAGGTGCTTTCATTTGCATGGGACATCAAAGTGACAAAGGAAACCAGTGCCACAGGTCTGTAATCCCAGCTACCCAGGAGGCTGGGGCAGGAGTAGCAAAGGTCATTTAGTACCTGAGCCAGGTCAGGAGCTCAAGGTCACTTGAGAAACTTACCAAGACTCTTTCTTTTCTTTTTAGATTTACTTATTTTATGTATGAGTGCTCTGTCTGCATGTACAACTTTACTCCAGAAGAGGGCATCACTGTAGACGGCTGTGAGTCACCATGGGGTTGCTGGGAGTTGAACTCAGGACCTCTGGATGAGCAGTCAGTGCTCTTAACCTCTGAGCCATCCCACCAGCCTGACCAAGAGTCTTTCAAAGTAAAGCAGTAACCAGTGGTACAGCATGTGCCTCGTGTGCACAAGGGCCTACACTTAATCCCCAGAACCACACACATGCACACACAGAAAATAAATACATGGAAAGAAGCTTAACATTGAATCTAAAAATAACACTGAATGGGGGAGGTGACAAAGCCCAACTAGACACCCCGTGCTAACAAATAAAAATCTCCACATCAGGGATAGATTACCTCTTTTTGAGTTGTTGGCCAGTGGGGTCACCTTGCACTCTATTGCCAATACTCTTGGCTTGACAGTAAGACCGTATTGCTGAAGACAACACAAACTTGAGTAACAACATGGACAAACCAAGCTGGAACTCAGCTGGAGGCCTCATCCCTATGGCTAGCTTTCACGGCACTAGAAGGAGCTATGCATGCGACTGGAGAAGCGTAGTCATCATTTCACCCAGCTGTGAACCCTGCAGCCTGCAATGACCAGCCTGACAGATGTGCCTACTGGACAAACAGTGGCATGAATGTCATTGGATGAGCCAACCAATTTCTGATTGGATCTAAGGTTTGTGCCATGAGGTGGAATCCATACCTGGCACTGTTAAACGCACCAAGAATCTGTGGCTGGGTAGGTCAGAGGAAGAATCTGAAAGAGGAAGGCCCTAAGGAAGAATCTAGAACTATTGCTCTGCTAAAGGGACATAGCGTTAAGATGACCCCTAATGACTTACTGCTATACACATAAATCAGAGCATCTCTCAACCCTCATCAGAGAAGTTCCTCCTTGCAGTAGACGGTGATTAACACAGACTCTCAGATAGTCAACATGGAGAGGGTGTGAGACCGTGGAGAGCTTGGCTCCAGGGGGACACACACATCAGACCCCTCCCCAGGGGTCTTGGAGGAAGAGTGGCTGGAAAATCCTAAGCGGCAGAGACTGTGGCTAACATCAAGGCATAGCAGGGCAGTTACACATATGAAGTCACAGTGGTTGTCATGGTATGCAAAAGACATGCACGACCTCAAGCAGAAAAAAAATCTCAGCATTAGAAGAAGAAAGTGGGCATAAGATCCCACTGCTAGCTCAGGAGCTACTGACGCTTGATAGTGGTGGGGAGAGAAAGAGAGTCAGTTTTCTTTAATGATGGCAAGTCACAAACATGACAAGGCAGGGCTGGAGAGATGGCTCAGAGGTTGGGAGCACTGGCTGCTCTTCCAGAGGTCCTGAGTTCGGTTCCCGGCGGCCACATGGTGGCTTACGGCCATCTGTGATGAGATATGGTGCCCTCTTCTGTATGCAGGCATACATGCAGGCAGAATGCTGTATACATAATAAATAAAGAAATCTTAATTAAAAAAAAAAAAACAAATACGACAAGGCAGTTCCCAGCCCCAAGACTAACTGGTCATCATGAGGTAGAATGGGCAAAACCAAAGCTCGGGGGAAATGGAGAGGAGGGCGGTTTATGCAAGGAGCCAGGGAAGGGCAGGTAATATGACCAAAATATATCATATGAAAATCTCAAAGAAGTACTAAAATATTGTTTAAAAAACGACACTGATATTCACAATAGCCACTTACTAGAACGGTGGAAATAAAAAGGCCCATGCTAATACTATGCAAAAATACAGAGGAATTTAAGTCTCCTATATTGGTAATGAGAGTAGAAAATGATTCACATACTTTTCAAGATGAATTAGTAGCTTCTTAATAGGGGAATATAAGACAATTGAGGAAACAGCTGTGGAGGAAGATACATTGTTACCCATGTTGACAATGGTGGCGAAGTATGTTTTTAAACCTTCAGACATCTAACACATGGCACATGTAATTTATGTACATGTAATTTATTTTGGTCAAGAAGACCCCAACAGAGCGACTGAAAACACATGGCTCTGGGACCATAACAAACGTCTAAGGGTAGTGGACTGAAAAGAGACCCACAGAAAGCTAGAGCAGCCGGGGAGAGCGAGCTCCTGGCCCTGAGAAGTGACAGCATATGACAGGTTCCGAATTTTCAAAATAGAGAGTTCTAGGGGCAGATGGATCAAGTTCAAAGAGGTGGAGCTCTACGGTTATTACAGCCCGCTCCACTGGCTGCCGAAGCCGCTCACATCAGGGGCAGCACAGTGGGTGTCCACAGAGCTCTTCTGCTGGGATTTGAAGTGGTTCTCTGTCTAGAATGGTAGCGAGGGCATCGCCTGGGGGCCCAGAATACGGACACTTCAGTGTTCTGTGATCAGGACTGAGGGATGCATAAATAGGACCCAGATGCAGCAGACGCCTCCTGTTCACACAGCGCCCTGTCTCATGCTCCTTCACAGTGCTCACTGAGCCGCAGATGGACTCACGGCAAGCACAGGGCTACTCACCATTTCCTGCGGCTGTCGCAGAAGGCTGACTTCGGCCGTTGGCTTCTTTCATTTCATTTACTTGATTTACTTGGGTTTCCATCTGTAAAACAGCACTACTTCAAAACATCCCCGAATTCATAGAGTATGTAGTAAATACAGAAAAGTGGTGGTTTTACACTTTGACAAAATGCATAAGCAGAAATGTAATTCTAGATAAAACTGATTTTGTCAAAGGAAACTCTGAGTAACATCTCCTGGTTATTAATAATTAATCAATTTAGAGACAGGATTTTATTATGGCCTAGAACTATCTACGAGATCAAACAGGCCTTGAACTCACAGAGATCTGTCTCTGGGATTAAAGGTGTGTGCCACCCCACCCAGCCTTTGCGTCTCCTGTTGCTTGATTTCTTTTTCAAAAAATTAACTCCTTTGTAAAAGTCTTTTTGAGTTACCTCCCTAATATATTTTGGTTGATACAACATTATATTGTCTTTGATAACCTATCTTTTTAAAAAGTTTATTTATTTATTTTTAGTGTTCTGCCTGCTTGTATTCCTGCAGGCCAGAAGAGGGCACCAGATCCCATTATAGATGCTTGTGAGCCACTCTATGGTTGCTGGGAATTGAACTCAGGACCTCCAGAAGAGCAGCCAATGCTCTTAAACTCTGAGCCATCTCTCCAGGCCTTAAGCCAACAAGTATTTAGGACAAGTTTGGATTAAGTATAAACAATCAAAGCCTCACAGCATACTGAGAAAGCAGTTATTTCTAGCTATCTGACTCACAGGACGGTTTCCCTTTGCTTCTGCTGGAATCTCACTTCCTGTCTTGTTGGTGTCAGACTAAGAGGGGCTGTGTAAAGAGGATAAGTCTGGCTTTACCTAGCCAGTCAGCTGGACCTGCAGAGCTGGTGAACAAGCGCTTTCGCTTTTTGCAGTCCTGGTTTGGGGATCTCTGGGCATCTGTGTTCTAACTGAAGTTTCAACAGGATGGATGGGCTTTGCAGTGCCTACCAACTCAGGGTCTCATCTGATTCCCTTCATCCTCTTCATTGCCTTTCTCTCTGTCTCAGGCAAGGGGGGAGGCTCCTGAAGAATCATGGCCTACATTCCAAGTACATACTTGGGTCTCCCTGTTCAGCTTGTTCCTATGTACCCTGGTTTGTAGCACCCCTCTATTGCTCATCCCTGCGCAGTGGGCTGGGATGCTATAGTGGACGTCCTGGGGTGACCAGATGCGGACACTGGGATGCTATAGTGGAGTCCTAGGGTGACCAGATGCGGACACTGGGATACTGCAGTGGACGTCCTAGGGTTACCAGATGCAGACACTGGGATGCTGCAGTGGATGTCCTGGGGTGACCAGATGCAGACACTGGGATGCTGCAGTGAATGTCACATGGTTACAGATGCAGACACTGGAAACCTTTGCCTGACTTTGGACTTTTTTTTTTTCTTTCTTTCTTTTCTTTTTTTTTTTTTTTTTTAGTTGTTGAAAAAAAAATTATGCCTCCTCCCCATTTCCCTTTACAGGCTTGTTCAGTCAACTTTGGGAACATTCTCCAGCTCCTCATTCCCCCCTGCCAGGCTCATGATTCTGTTAATTTTGCAGGTAAATTGTGTGAAGGAGCCTGGGCCATGGACAGTCTCTAGAATGGGTAAGAACTGCTGTGTATTTACTGCCTTGAACTGAAACTACCAGGATCTGCAAATCTGCAGCAATCATATCTCTTCCTTCCTCAGTATCAGTGTCCATGGCCTCCGGGAGAGCGACTCTCTGGGTTACCCTTTTTGGCAGCCTGGCACACGGAAACATAGCCACACTCCTCTGGTTGAAACTCTTATCGTTCACACGATAAAACCTAGCTTCCAAAACCTTCCTTGCCACGACGATGTCTGTGGGACAGACACTACCCTTGTGAGGACTCACAGGCCCGACTCACTACCAGACACCTGTGGTGCAGGCTTGGGGTGGGCAGTCCTGGCAATGGGCACTGGGAGGCTGCAGGTTCACATCCTCACTGCTCAGGGTTATGGTGATGCCCATGGCAGCTGTGATAGCTGTAGCTCCTCCCAGTGTGATGTCACTCAGCCTGCAGTCCAGGTTCCCCTGGTCTGCTTTCCTCCCACAACCAATCAAACTACATTTCTGATTATTTGTTTACAGTACCTTGTGCTTCTCTTTAGCTTGTCTCTTTGTCAGCCTTAAAAAAAGGATAAAAGCTTTTCAGGCAAATGTTAAATATATAAAACACCAACACTGTTGTTTTATACAACAGCTTCTACAGTTATATTTTACTTCACATATCCATAATAGTTGTATTTGATTTAAAACACAATCCTTTCCTCTGAAGTGTATTCAGCTATAAACAGAAGTTATTCTTAAGGGATGAAGAATAATAGTTAGTTCTAATTATCAACCTGACACACCGGGGTCACCTGAGGTGAGACTCAGTGGGGATTTCTAGACCAGGTTGGCCTGAGGTCATGTCCATAGTGGACAGTCCTGACTAAACATTAAATACTGTGGGGAAACAGCCCATAGTGGGCGGCACCATTCCCCATACAGTGGATCCTAGACTGTAGATGAATAGAGAGGGGGCTGAATATAGAAACTGCACATGCATTCCTCTCTGCTCTGGACTCTGGGTGTGACAGGACTAGGTTTCTAGGCTCCTAGCACTGTGATAATCCCTCAGTGATGGAAAGCAGCCTGGACAGGGAGATCAAAATCAACCCTTTCTCCTCCAAGTTCCTGGTGCCTGGGTATTTTAGCCTAGCAACAGAAATAAAACTAGAACACTACTAATATTGTAATGAAGAATTACATTTGGATCAAAGTTTTTCAGTAAAGCCAAAGGGAAAAATTATCATTTTAGCATAGGTTTCAGTCTGATTGTCATAAAAAGACACAACCAGAATTACAGACAGTAAAACGTGTTTAGAAAGCATTACTTAAGTTCTCTTCTAGAGAAACCCCCTTTTTAAATATTTATTTAGTTATTCAAAGCGCATGAATGGTTTGCCTGCATCCATTTCTCTACATGTGTGCCTGGTGCCCCCAGAAGCCAGAACAGGGCTTTGGATCCCTTGGGACTAGAGTTACAAACCGTTCTGACCTGCAACTCCAATCTGGATCCTCTTGCCTACTTACTGAGAAGCCCCTCCCTCCCTCCCTACTGAGCCGTGCCTCCCACCCAGAGACACCCTTCTTCATAACTGGAGTTAGTGTTCTCCGTCTACTATGCAGTTGGTGCACGGTACCCTGAGCACTCTCTGTGTGTCTCGGCTGTTCTTTCCCTCACGACCTGTGTGATGCTGTACTAGATAATCTGTAAAGGAAGGATGGAGGTGGGGAAGGAAGCCACCGTGCGAGTGTGCACTGAGAGCCGACTGGTTCAGAAGTGAACCTCGGAACTGCTGGGGTTGGACGATACTGTTCAAATTATAAATGCCACATGCCATGACACACTGTGGAAACAATAGGAATTATGAAGTAATATACCAGCAAAGGAATCAATGTTTGCTTGCCTTTTGTGCTTAAAATTACAAACAGTAGCTTCATTATCTTGCAATTAACCACAAAGGCTGAACTCTGCATGGTGTCAGAGGCTTGTAAACTCAACCACACATTACAGCGTGATTTCCAGGTCAGTCTGGGAGGCTTAGAAAGACTGTTTAGTGGTTAAAAAACAAGTCACAAAGATACATGGGACGGAGCTCAGTGGCAGAGGCTTGCTTAGCAAGCATGAGGCCCAGGTTCAATACTGCTGTCAAAGCTCGAAGAATATGAATAAAGTAACAGAATTCGGGGGTGGGGGAAGGGCAAATTTGTCATTCTGTTTTCAATGAAATTAAGTTACATTTAAAAAATATTTCAACACGTGTCTTTATCAGTCCAACTGCTCATTGCCCCTTAGCCCCACTCAGCTCTCCACGCACAGCAGCAGCACTGTTCGTACAGCTTCATGAAAGACAGTTCCGCATGCCCTGACTTTATTATTCAACATTAATAATCTCTGCCATACCATTAATGGTTTACTTAGCTACTGCACACGAGGAACATCTCTGCTCATCTCCAGAACGCATCCAACAACCTTTAAACCGAGAAACTTCAATCAAGGGCAGCCGGAAACCTACAAAACCAAGGCTCCTCACGATGATTCTTAAAACACACGGAAGACGATTAAGTTCTTAGCATGCCTTGGGTGTCTCGATACTCTGTTATTTTATAGAAGTTAGAGTTGCTTTATAGCTGTTTTATAACTTCCAGCCTTATTTTAACATCTGATGATATATATCTATATATCTATATCTACATATGTATATATATATATATATATATATATTAGTGTGTGTGTATGTGTGCACCCAAGTGTGTCTTTGTGGGGTATGTGTATGTGAGTGCTGGTGTCCAAGGAGGTCACAGGAGGGCACCTGACACCCTGGTGCTTGAGTTACAGGTGCTGTAAGCCCCCACCTGTGTGGGTTCTGGGACCCAAATTTGGGTTGTTTGCATGAGCAGCCACTCTTAGCCACAGAGCCATCTCTCCACCTCCACAGCCTCGCTTCACGGTGTCATTCCCATTGGCAAGTAGAGTCGCATTTCCTTTCTGATCGTTTCTGCATGAGTGATCTCTTTCCTCTCTGTCTCTCTCTGTGTGTGCGCACACAGGCATTCACATTTATACAAGCTCAAACTACAGTTTACTCTTAGCCTGATACAATGTGTTAAGATTTCAAATACTTTGTCATACACATTTCAGCTGTATTCACTGCCTTCTACACCAGATCTCGTTCATCTTCCTGCAAAGATCTCCTAAAACAGGGTCATTTTAAGAGGGAAAAGGAAAAATGTTTTTAAACGCCACCCCCTTCTTTACCAGTTGCCACCCACTTCTCTGTTACTTTTCTGAGGAAAAGCCCTCCAGGGACCTGTCTCTCCGGTGCACTGTCTGGCTTCGCTGACAGCCATTTATTAAAGTCACGTGTCTGCACCTTCATCTTCCGGCAGCACGGGCAGGGAGGCACGCCTTATTTCTAGTGCGGTGACTGCTTTATTTTGGAAAAGGAGCCCATTAGCATCCCTTCACAGGAGGTAAAGAACAGCTTTTTACCTTCCTTCATCCCGACCCATTTCACTCAGATGGCGGCCTTCCTTCACCGGCAGCAGGTCAGCAGCTTCTGGAAGGGACTTCTCAAATACTGGTGTGATCACGGGTTGTCTGGGGGTCCGTGTTTCCCTTCCAGTTTTCCTTATTTCTTTCATACACCAGCCAGAAACACTCCTTTGAGAAAGTCAAAAACATCAACATTTTCTAGCACACCTGCTGATAAAGGCAACATTTTAGCTCTTCTCCATCCGAATCTATTTAGTAGTTGTAAAAACAGAAAACACCAGGTAATGACGAGGAAAGTCCTAGTCTTCTTAACATAGGCAAACCTAGGACTACGAGTTCAGGAATCAAGAGTTATGTCTGAGCATACGCAAGGCTTTTTGGAAAAACAAAAGCTCATCAGGCAAAAATTGTGGAAAAACTAGTTATAGGGACTTTAGAAGGTGAGAACTCTTGTTGCTTCTGCATAAGACTCAGGTTTGATTCCGAGCACCTTCATGGTGGCTCACAACCACCTATATCTCTACTCCAGGGGATTCATCACCATCTTCTAGTTCCCATGGGCACTGTACATCCGTGGCACACATATATGCAAGAGAACATCATACATATAAAATAAACAAATTTAGAAAACAAATTCTAGTCATGGGACAGAATGTAAGCACAGAGACTAGGCATTAACTATAAACGTAAACAGGAAAACCTAAAACACAAAGACATAAGCTAGAGATGAATGCCACCTTAACAGGAATGCCATGCTAAAAGACTGGTACTCACTGGAATTATGCAGGTGCTAAATTAGATTTTGCTTTAAAATATAATAATTTTAAATATCACAATACCACAAGACATATAAGATAAAGTGAAAAACTGAGGAGCTATCTTTGGGGGCAAAACCTTAATTTGAAAATACATCAATATACACAGTTCGACTATCACAGTACAGTGATTTGTTTTCATTTTGTGTAAAATAATTTGACTAATTTTGTACACTTCATGCCAAGCTTCTAATCCTATTTAAAAGGGCTGCATTTGCCCGTAGACTGCCGTAATTCTCTTTTCTATGGAGTCTCACGTGCTGTGATTGACACACACCTGCAAACGTTTATCAAGACGCTGAGCTTGGCCACTGGGACCTTCTCACTAATAGTATGCTACAGCCCTGAAGGTTTTAAAGGCAAACCTCAGGCGTAATTTTTCTTTATGAAGATTTTGTGTAGCTTGCTCTTCTGATAAAACCCAAATCCCTACCCTTAAGACCAGTAGAGATTCAGAAGGGCGGCCATTAACTCATTCAGAGCTGAACTCCAATAACCACTTTGTGATCAGAGCAGGCACTATTATTTTCACTTTGGAAAGTTTATTGAAAAGAAACCAAATAAAAAATGTCTGGCTAAGGTTTCCTCAAACATCAGGAAGGGACCAAACTGTTTATCACTAGTTCCCTAAGACAGTTTGTCCTCTGTGCAGCCAGCCAGCGCCACTAACTCCTTGTTAGTCATTGCTATATTTCCTGAAACTGTGCTGTAAGTGCCAACCAATCAGCAGGCTGAAAAACCTGTGTCCCTGCGGACGCCAGCCACTTCCTCTTCTCAGGATTGGTCTCTAAATGCTGGCTGAATTCCAAATGCCACTGGCCACTGCCATCTTACAGGCTGGCCAAGCTGTGGAGGCCCCTTGCCCAGAGCCTGTAAGTTAAGCCAGCAATAGCTACCCTGGCAGCAATCGCTGGGCCTCAACCGCTGACCTGCTCTTTACTAATGGAGGTGGTAGGTTCAAACCCCCAGTTTCTTCAAGATATTCAAGGGGTTAGTACTTTCACAATAATTTAGACCTCATTTTACTATTGTTATACTTAGCTTTAAATATTTATTTGTTATTGCTGTGTATGTGCATGTGTGTGCATGTGCCACGGAGCGTGTGGAGGCAGAGGGCAAATCTGTAGCGATTCTTTCCACTCCCCACCTTTACACAGGCTTCTCGGTTGAACTCTGGACGTCAAGCTTGCCGAGGATACACCTTTACCCACTGAGCCATCTTGTTGGCCTTTGGTTTTAGTAAAATACAAACAAAATTTGGAATTTATTCAACACAGTTTGCCATAGTTGAAACTATCATAAATATCAGCCAAAGAATCAGACTCATGGCTGCAGTGTTGGATTTTCCTGTGAGGAAATGGCTTAGTATAGAGGATATGGGCCACCACGCCGCAGAGCAATTCATAATGCGTCCATAATTCATAAATGTCTGCAAATTTAGATGATCAAAACTGACCCAAGGGAAGAATTTTAAAAATACAGTTAATCAAATGTTTAAAACAGTCCCAGGGGAAATGCCATTCACTGACTTAATAGATGCTTATTGAGGAACAACTCACTGTACACTATTCCGTTTGTACCCAATGCGTTTGTAAAATGCTGAAAAAGAAATCAGAAAAACAATTTCATTCCAATTGCCCAGAGGGATACACACCTTTTTAATGAGAAGAGCAGCCCAACAAGAAAGAACAAAAACACGATATAAGATGGAAACAAAATAGGAGAAACTGGAATTAGTATGTTGATGTTAAAAGGATCCACTAAACTTGCTTAGGAAATATTGAGTCACAGAAAGTGGAATTGGCCAATGGAGAATTCTTAGGTCTCTTATCAGTGTGATCCTGCTGGGCAGTAGGGATGACCCTGGTTAACAGCTGGGCAGGAGGGAGGACCCTGGTTAACATCTGGATGTGAGGGAGGACCCTGGTTAACATCTGGGCAGCAAGAATAACCCTGTTTAACAACCGGACAGGAGGGAGGACCCTGGTTAACATCTGGATGTGAAGGAGGACCCTGGTTAACATCTGGATGTGAAGGAGGACCCTGGTTAACAGCTGGGTAGGAAAAACAGCCCTGGTCTGTCTTGGGATGACTATGGCAATATTTTTTACATTGTAAATCTTCCCATTTTTCCAAATAATCAAACCTTGAAATTTCTGTCTTTATAGAACATGTTTCATTACTCAAAGTGTAACTTGGGGTCACGAAACCACAGAAGTCGATGTTGTCTTTTTTGTTGTTGTTGTTGTCGTTTGTTTTTCCAAGACAGAGTCTCTCTGTGTAGCCCTGTCTGTCCTAGAACTCACTTTGTAGACAGGCTGACCTTGAACCCATAGAAATACGCCTGTCTCTGCCTCCCAAGTCAGCCAATAGCTTCTCAGTATGGCATGGGACTCCATGATCTTCCCCCCCCCCCCCGCAGCCATGCTGGGACTGTGCTTGAGTTGACCTTGTACAGGTCTTTAGCAATGTGAATTCATGTATGGTGTGGCCCTGTCATGTCCAGCAAATACTGTTTCCTGCAGGTGTCTGACTCTTACAATCTGTCTGTCCCCCCTTCTGCAATGACCTCTGAGCCTTGGGGACAGGGAGAATGAGGTAGATGTCGCATTTAGAGCTGGGCACTCCACGATCTTTCTGCACGTTGGTCAGACGTGCATCTCTGACTATCTTCTGCAAAAAGCTGCTCTAACGAGGCTTGAGAAACCAGTGCATAAATAAGAACTCAGACAGTTTAATGCTATATCATCTTTAGCAAAGTAATACTGTCAGGTTCACCTGATGATGTGACAGGGTAATTTGGGGAGAGGGGTGTGGGGAGGGCCTTTGAAAATGGCATACAGAAACCAACTACTGTAGAAGCTTCTTAAAATATATGCATATACAGATATAAAAGCTTAAATGGAGTTACTCTATAATGGGGGACAATGATCCTCACAGACACCATAGGCTATTAGAAAACATCCCAGTGACAGGTAGACTCCCTTCCCAGATATTTCTGGCTAGTGCCTTTGCTCTGTTGCCCTCCAGAACCTGACAGTGAGACTCTGCTAAAGACACCACATACTGAGTGATAAAACCCTGAGAAATCAGGTGTTGCCCATCTGGAGTATCTATCCCGACAGCTCGCTTGCATACTGCTGGAAAGTTCTGTCTGCATTACCAGGGGAAAAGAGTATCAGCAGTCTCGCCCATCTGTGAAAGCTGGAGCTACAGCACCAGCTGGCCTGGAGAGTGACCCACTGGCGCCATAGTTGCATGAATATTGCTGAAATAACCAGCTATTTTCTAATGGGATTTAGAGCTCTCTCCCTAAGAAGGAACTCATTCCTGGTGCCATTAACTAAGCCAAAAATCCATGGCTGGCATTTCCAGTTTTTGAGGAACCTCCACCTCGATCTTTCCAGCGTGACTGTACTAATTTTCTTTCCCACCCACAGAATTGGGGGAGGGGTTTTTTCTTTAGTCTTTGGCACTGTTGTTTATTGTTTTGATGATAGCAGCTCTCTCTTGGGTGAGATGAGCCGTCAATGTAGTTATGAGCTTCTTTTTATTATTTTTATGTGTGTGGGCGTTCTATCTGCAGGTATATGTGTAGTATAGTGTGTATGTGTGTGTGTGTGTGTGTATGTGTGCCCTCAGAGACCAGAAGAGTGTCTTTTTTTTAAATATTTATTTATTAATTATGTATACAATATTCTGTCTGTGTGTATGCCTGCAGGCCAGAAGAGGGCACCAGACCCCATTACAGATGGTTGTGAGCCACCATGTGGTTGCTGGGAATTGAACTCAGGACCTTTGGAAGAGCAGGCAATGCTCTTAACCTCTGAGCCATCTCTCCAGCCCCAGAAGAGTGTCTTAAATGTCCAAGAATAGAATTGTATATGGTTATAACTCACCATGTGGGTGCTAGGAGCCAACCTGGGTTCTCTGCAAGAGCTGCAAGTGCTCTTAACTGCTGAGCCATCTCCAGTCCATGAGTTTTATTTTGTTGATGGGTAAGGATGATAAATAAATTTTATATAATTCTTGGCCATGTAAAGTATTGTGACACTTTCAGCATCACCTTTTCTGCTCAGGGTTTTACTCTTCCAGGGTACTTCCTGATTCCTCATCATTTTAAACTTTTCTCTATTTCTGAGAAGAGCATCTTAAAAATTGTATTGAGACTGCATCAAATCTATATGTTCATAGTTCCTGTCATACAGCCCTTTCCACAATATTATTACTGTCTGCCAGAAACACCAATGGTCTTTCTGCATGGAAACAATATGTCTTCCCAATGAGAAATCACCCCACAACCTAAGGATCAATAATGGAAAAACTCTAATAATCGTGTGCCGCTAGATCTGCACAGTGCCCAGAAAGCACCACACAGAATCCACTGGGGCCAGGCAGTGGTGGTGCATGGCTTTAATCCTGATCTACAGAGTGAGCTCTAAGATAGCCAGAGCTAACACAGAGAAACCCTGTCTCAAAAACAAAACAAAGCAAAGCAAAGCAAAACAAAACAACAAAAAGGGGTGATAGCACTGTAGTAGGAGCTGCGGGCTGCTTCTGCCACCTGGCTAGCTTATACCCCAAAATAACAACACACAAATTGTATTCATTTAAACACTGCCTGGCCCACCAGCTCCAGCCTCCCACTGGCTAACTCTCACAGCTTGCCTAGCCCATATTTAGTAATCTGTGTAGCACCAGTCTTACCGGGAAAGATTCAGCATGTCTGACCTGACGGCTTACTTCATCACATCTACGTTGGAGAGCAGAGGCACGGCGTCTGACCTCACTTCCCTTCTTCCCAGCATTCTGTTCTGTTTACTCCACCCACCTATGTTCTAACCTATCAGGCCAAGCAGTTTCTTTATTAATTAACCAATGAAATCAACAGATTGATATGACACTCCCACATCATAGCACGTCTGTAGGTACTTTCAGAAACAGGGTCCAGAGTTTTGACTGTACCTTGTTGCGCTTAAATACACACCAACAAATTTGCCAACGGGCAGCACCCATGGCACAAGGAAGCTGTTCTTTGGTCTTTGGGTTTGATGGTTGCTTGCTTTGCTATGCTGGGAAGCCAAATCAGGGCACCAAATACATTAGGTAGAACTCAGTCCCTGGGTCATTCCCGCTCCCCCTAAAGTTAGTGAGGAACAGAGCCACCCCCACTTGCTTATCATCCACAGCAGATTTCAAACTATTGAGACAATAGAGGCACATGTTCCATCAGGCCTAGAAAGAAGTATTAACGTCTTCTAGTCCCAATGAACATACTAAACACACTTTAGACTGTTCATTGTAGCTTCTACCTGGTACAGTGACATGCTGACACACATGGATACATGTGCAATCCCTCAGCATCACTCAGACTCAGATGAGAGTCTGGGTGGATCCCTAACATGTGATGAGCAAGGAAGGGAAACTCAGTGGCTTATGATGCTGCCAACAAGGCAGGAGACCAGTAAACACGGCGGCTTCGCCATTCAGTTTAACAACTCATTTATTTTAAGTGTGTAAGTGTCTGCCTGCTTGTCTGTCTGGGCACCACTTGCATGCCTGGTGCCCGGGAATGCCAGGATGCTGTGTCCCCTGGAACTGAAGTTACAGACAGTTGCGAACTGCTGTGTGGGTGATGGGAATTGAACCTGGGTCCACTGTAAGAGTAGCCAGTGCTCTTAGTTGCTGAGCCATCTCTCTGGTCCAGAGCTCATTTCTTAAATAGTTGCATACTACAGTATTTTGTGAACATAAAACTATAAATGCAACCTCATTGACAAGTACACTAGCAAAAGCACCTGTACATACTTACAGATATGTAAAGAATTTATACAAACATGTTAATACATATGTCCCTTGTGTTCACATTATATAATGACTATATAGCCACCTATCTGTGTTGTATGCAATATGTAGTAAATATGTATATAATATGTAATAAAGTTGTATATAATATATAAGAAATAAAAAACATGGTTTTTATGTGCTTCCAAGCCATATTTTCCCGTCTCAGAAGGACCTTGCTCTAGAAATGAAGATTTTTAGCTGGAAAGGATGACAGCAAAGAAAATGTGGATACAGGTAATACTCAATTGCCCTAATTACCCTACCCAGCCACGTCACTAAACAACAGTGTGCAAGGATCATCATTCACTGTAGTCATCCCTTTCTAATTAAAAAATGCTTATCAGTTCAAGGCCAGCCTGATCTGCAAGAGCTAGTGCCAGGACAGGCTCCAAAGCTACAGAGAAACCCTGTCTCAAAAAAAAAAATGCTTATCAATTTAACTGGATAAATAGTATCAAATTACTTATGTACTTCTGAGAACCATGCAGAACCTGAACAGTAGTAATAGAAGTTTAAAAGTTGTTAATCGTGCATATTAACCCGAATCAGGGTTAATTTTTAGAAGAACGAAGATTAACTATGAAGTATTCCTACTGTCTCACTCACTTAGCAAGCTCATCTTTCTCTTCAGTAGGAAGCAGCTTCTCGGTCCTTCTGACCGTCAACCCATAGTCACTACAGTCAGGGACCATAAGACACAGAGTCTCTGAGACTTCCAACTCCAGACTTGGCCGTTTCTTGCTCATTTCTTCAACCTTTGAGGCAAGTGTAAGCAAGGAGAAATGTTACTGCTCAAGAAAACGAACTTTTGCTGTTTCCATCAGGTGGCTCTTACTTTCGTGCCTAATTTTAGTGCATAAGAAGATTTTTGTAGGGCTGGAGAGATGGCACAGGGCTTGAGAGCATTTGCGGCTCTTGTCTTTGGTTCAGTTCCCAGCACCCACCCACATGGCAGCTCACAAAGTCTGTAACTCCAGTCCCGAGGGATCCAACATCCTCTTCAGTCCTCTGAGGGCACCACACACACGTGGTGCACATATGTATGCGAAGGCAAAATATTTATAAAGTAAAAATAGACATATCTCTTAAAAAGACTTCTGCTTCATTTAATTTAGCATTAGAAACTCGCATTTTTTTTTGTAAATTCTGCTTTATTTTTTCTGTTTGATCTAAAAAACAAAACAAAACAAACAAAAAAAAAAACCAGAGATTTTTAAGTTCCATACCACAAATCCTGGACAGGAGTGAAGCAACCAGATACCTGTGACTGGTATCCCAGCTTTCTCAGATCCCCCAAGACTCTGATGTCCACAAATCAGCAGGAAGCAGTCTTGAGAACTCAACGCCCTCACCCCTTAACCTACCATGCCTAACTCCTCGCCCTTTTATTATAAGAGAAAGATGGGAATGTTATAATTATAAATCTGCTGGCCTTGCCTGTCACCTGGTACCCAGTCCCTTTAAGAGACAAACCCTGCCCACCCCCAGTCTCCTCCTTGCCACCAGAGGCAAGCTGATCTGGAGCCTCCTCTCCTCTTTCTGTCTGTCTTTCTTCTGCAGAGGCAGCCTCTGCCACTCCCTTCCCCCTTCCTCTTTCTTTTCTTTCTCTCTCCCTCTCTCCCTCTTTCTCTCTTCCCCCCATAGCCCCTTGCCCTTATACCCTTCCCAATACCCACTAAATAAACTCTATCCGCCCCCCCCCCCACACACAATGGGCACTCTTAATTCTCTCTCTCAGTCTTTTCCATCTAACATTTTCACTGCCTGTTTGATGTGGAAGAACTGTAAATGACGGGAAAACACGCCATCTTTAGGGTTTACTGCCGGGATGGCACATGGGACACTCAGATTCTGAGAATGTGCCATCATAGGTGTAAGGAGCAGAAATGAGCGTCTCCTCCCTGCACAGCCATTCTCTCCCCATTTAAAGTTGACAACATTCTTTTTTAAAATCACTTGGAGACTGGGGTAGCAAAAGACGTGAAGCTGCTGACTGAAATAGCCCAGTCCTGCCGCTGAGCAGTAGGCGAGGCTGCAAGCTGATTGGTTCACACTCTGGAAAAGATCACTCTCGCAAGCGGGACAGGTACCAACTGTGATATTTCACGAGTGGGATGTACCCGCTGTTCCTACTTTAGCTGCAACCGTTCCTTCTAAGCTCTTAGGGGCCACCGTGTAGCACTTCACGACACCACCAGACAGTGCAGTCCCACGGTGCTCCTCGGGTAAGTGACCCAACAACTCAGTCAGCTGGATGAAAGAGAAGCGAATTGTGTGAGAGTAGAGGAAGCCCTGAGCGAATGAAATCCCGAGTGAATCTGCATGGTCGACACGGGTGAAAGTGTACTGCAGACACCAGCATGCCATGTCCAATGCCTCAGGCCACGGGAGTGACAAAGCTTCCCCGGGCTAGGCTCAGGACGGCAGACTTCCTGAGGAACCTGAATGTGAATGCTGACAGCGCCATAGCGCCTTCCTCAGACGGCCTGGAGACGCTCCCTCCAGAGCCTGCTCTTTGAGCTAGCTAAACCTGCCTCCTTGGCCCACCAGTGTGCTGTAACCCTGACTCTCTGTCAGCTGTCTGCAGTAATCCTGCCTCCTTGTCCAAGGGTATCGTAAACACACTAAGCAGCCAGTGCTTCGGCCTCTCCACCAAAGAGCCAATCCGCCAGATCCCAGCTTCCCTGTACCTGTCTTTTCTTCAGTCCCCTCCCTGCCCCAATCAGGTCAATCCTAGGAGCTGCATGAGGATGCTGCCAATTTACAAAAATATTTTAATATTTTCTAGGAGGGAAAAATGTCTACATTTATTTTTTTCCAACTCGTCTCCAGATTTTTACGAATCTTTATCTCAGAACTCAGCATTTAATCTGGATCCAATATATTTTTGGCTGATGACACGTGTTTGTATATGGATATAAGATCATACGTTCTGAAGCCAGATTTGCTAAATAAAGACCATGTACAGGACGGTTTAACAAGGACAGCTTTTGATTCATGTGAAGCTGTGGACATGTATATACCCGCTCTTAGTTTCCCCAAGTATTTATGTGGGAATTCCCGCTTCCAACAGTCTGAACAGAAACGTCCAGCTTGCACACATCAAAGCTCAAGACTGTGCTGGTGTGGATTTGTCACACTTAGAGACATTGTTATTTCTTCTCATTCATTGCTTGGTTCCCACCAAGTAACTTATCCTTAAGCCAACCCAAGGACATCTATCAACAGCTAGACAGTATGGTAAAACTCCTCTAGGTATATCTTAAGTCAAAAGATCACATGACACGGGATACATTGGTTTTCTAGGTCATATGCTACTGTAAAGAAAGATTAGAATCGATTAGTGAGAAATCATTCTGAAAATATTCTCTTTAACTTTTATTATTTAGACAGTAGAAACCGCCTCTACTTAGCCTCTCTCTATAGCCCTGGATGTCCCGGAACTAGATATGTAGACCAGGCTGGAATCATACTTGCAGAGACTGTCTGCCTCTGCCTCCCATGTGCTGGGTAAAAGGCATGGACCACCATGCCAATCTATACAGAAGCTTTTCACCAGCAAAAATCAGTGAGATCAAGTTTTGAAAACAATATTAGCAGCATATTTTTGAAAGTGAAAATTTCCTCTCTTTTTCTTCTTTAAGCAAGGGTCTCATTCTGTAGCCCCAGCTGGCCTTGAACTCACAGAGATCCACTTGCCACCGCAGCAGTTGGGCAGTCCCTGAATTATTATATTATCTTACCACTGTCTTTAGTTGCAGAAACACTGTGACTAAAATTTATTATGTTATGTTTATGGGTATTATGTGTATATATTGCTTGCATGTGTGTCTGTGCACCACATACATGCCAGGCACCCAAGCAGACCAGAAGAAGGGGTCAAATCCCTGGGAACTGGAGTTACAGATGGTTATAAGCTGCCATGTGGGTGCTGGAATCGAATCTGCATCCCCTAAAAGAGTAACTAGTGCTCTTGACCACCAAGCCATCTCTACAGACCCTGTGTTCTGTTTAAGTTCAGTCAGGGGTTCATTTCTTTGAAGTATGTAAGCCTCGGCCCTTCTGGTTTATTAGGCTTGGGCTCCGTCTCATATTTCATCCCCAGCTCCTGCTTTTAGCACGCCAGTATCAAACATTTCAGTCCTAACACTTCCGGGGACTTTATAGGCTTGTCTTCCTGAATCACAAGCACCCCCTTGTTTGTGAGCAAAGTGTGTTCAGTGTTTGCTTCTAATCACTCAGCAAACGCGCAGGACGGCTGGCAAGCGCATGCTCAGAACAAGAACGCGTTGGAGATGGAGGATGTGCTTGGTGCACCTGTTCTCAAGGTCGGGAAAGTCCGCGTGGCTTTAGACAGGCCCTCCAGCACACCTTTACCCTCACATTTGGCAGATTATTTGCTGAGGTTACAGGTAATTACCTGGAACTGAGTTCTTCCCCTATAGCTACCCGGAAGTGGTTCTTTGTCAGGACAGATGTTTTCAAACACATCCCTAGCTGTGTGCTGTAACTCACAGCTGTGTTTGTCTGGCTCTCCATTATTCCCTGTTAGGTCTCGGGTGATGGACGCTTTCTCATGGGCTTTCACTGCAGGAACTTCCAGACGGACAGGCGCACACTCTCCATCAGATTTCTTGTTTATTTCAGGCTCTTCAGACATTTTCTTCAGATGCAAAGGGGGAGGATGGCTTTGTGTGCTTTCCTTCTGATACTGAGGGTGGGTTGGCCTAGCTGGATCTGCAGATGTGTTTTGTGTGTGGGGGCATGTCTTTGAGAGGACTCTATGCTTCAGGAGCCACAGGATACAGATGAAAAAAATAGTTAGAAATAAATATATAGTTTACATTTAAATTTCTTAACATATGTCTAGATACCAGAAATCACTGAGCAGTAATTGAAAAAGAGAAAAATAATTTACTTACCCAATATGAACTGAAAAAGTTATGTTAATCACTGTTGTTTGGATAGAACAATTATGAGTTAAATTAATTATTAATAATCCTCTGTGGTGTTAACTTACCAAAGATGAATTACTCATTTTTAACATTACAAATTTGTCCTCATATAAAAATATTTGACCTCACTGGGCCTCAAAAAGAGAGCATGCCTGTAGCCTCAGGTCACTGTCTGACAGGTAACAGGAAGCTTGAGACTTTACAGATGGACCCAAAACTTTACCTTACTAAAGACATAGCACAAACACCACTCACACAGAAACAAATTACCAAGTTATAATTTTAATCGCATAGCAACACGCTTCTGTACAGCCGCATGGGCTCAAGTGTTAAGGTTTAATATGCTCTCACAGCCTTCTGGGCACTCTGAATCTCTATGCTACCCACGGACAAAGCCACTCTCAGCCTTCGTCAGAGGAGCCTGACAAAGAACAGTGGGTGATGCTGTTGAACCCTGGAGTCCAGTTACCCAGGAGGAGTCGCCCCAAGAGACCATTCTCACACCGCAGTTGATGTAAAAGCATGAGGATTTTTATTAATTCTGTAGTGACAGGGTCTTTCAGCATTTGGGAAGCCAGAAAGACCCTGAATAACTGGTAAGGCTACTTTTAAAGCAAAAAGCCATAGGAACAAGGGGGGAGTCTGGGGTTGTTCTTTAACTATTATGATTGGTTTATTCAAAGGGCTATTACCAGTAATTGGCTGGAGAGCAGTTGCCAGATCAGGTGAGGTAAGGGGGAATATCTGTGGGTTACTTTGACCCCTTCCCAGGGACTGAGTCAAAACATCTGTGGGTTATCTTGTCCCAATTTCAGGAATGGAGCTCTATTTGGAGAACACTCACAAGGACATAGGGAGATGGAAAGTTCCCAACATTTCAGTACGTGCATGTGTAGTTGTTAGATCCTTGGTTCCCAGGGGAGAGAGGAGCACTAATGCTGAGAGGCCTCAGAGTCATCAGAAATGACTTCAGAGTTATTTTAGAGTTCTACAATGCAAAGGTTTCCCAGGGTGCTGAGAGTAAGTGGCTGCTGTGTGCTCAGCCTTAAACAAGGCATTCATAGCGGCCCCTTCAAGGCTCGGGGAACTGTGAAAGGGAGGCAGAAAGAATGTAAGGCTGAAAGATAGGGTGGCAACTACGAAATGTCATCCCAGACTCAACACGACCCATACAATCATTAACTTGCAACAGCTATGGCTGCCTACATTGGGCTTACACAAGCCTGACCAGTCAATAATCAGTCACGGAACGGGGAGGGGCTCAGGGAGTCTACCGTTTACTGCTAACTATTGGGAGAAGGGAAATCATGGTCTTTAGTTGTGTACCCACAGCTGAGACCACTGAGAACCAACAGCTCTGGAAACATGGTCATGCAGACGCCCCTTGTAAAACTCAGTGGGTCACAAAACAGCATAAATAGGCTTGGATGTGAGAGATTTTTGGGAATGGAGGTTGATAGGGGTGGCAGGGAGATGGGAGGGGTGGGGTGGGGGCAGTAGGCATTGTGGACGTGAGGGAAATGTTCTAAGAACAGATCTAATAAAGATGCATCACAGCATGCATTGACACTGATTTGACAACACAGAAAGGGGCGACGGATACAGCGCATCCCCTAACTACCGTGAGCTGTCTCCCAGCAGTATAGGCTTATCAAGCCTCTCTCCTTCAATACAGATGCTGAAGACGGTTATCCACCAAGAGGCAGCATTAATTCTTTGAATTTCCCACTAGCTATTGCAGATATGGGAATGATCTCCAACAGTGGCCATCATTGTTAGGTGTGTGGAAGTTCAGCTACACAGGTCTGTGGCTCAGAACTGACTTCTCTCTGTCCCAAGAGGATGCTACACACAGAAGCAGGGAAAATATTCAGAAAAATCCTTGTTCTCAAGCAACATGTTTTAACTGACCATACTCGGAGAGTATACTGCTTTATAACTAGTTAAAATGCTTCAAAAATTAAGTGTCAAATATGATATAAAGATTTTTTCTGAGCCAGATGTGGTGGCACATGCCTTTAATCCCAGCACTCGGGAGGCAGAGGCAGGTGGATCTCTGTGAGTTAGAGCTCAGCCTGGTCTACAGAGGGAGTTCAAGGACAGCCAGGGCTACAGAAAGAAACCCTGTCTTGAAAAACAAACACAAATAAACAAAAATTGCTTTTCAAAGGCTATTATGAAGTTTGGAGTATGGCACATTATTAACACAAAGGAAACACGAACGAGAATTTATATTAAAATTGCGCATACTTGCAGCTGGGTATCTTCAGTGCCATCAAGACTCTTTTGTTCTGACTGGGTTGTCGCCTCGGAGTCCGATTCTGCTGTAACACATATACAAGTCTCTTAAAAAACTACTCACTCAGAAGAGCAGCACTTAAAAATAGATGAGAAGGATAAAACGCTAAAAGAGTAATGGTTATTGTCAATTTCCAAATTAAAAATTTAAATCAAGCTTAATACGCAGGTGGCTCCTTTATTAGAAAATATTTTATAAGCAAACTATTCTATGCACACATGCATGTGCCACACACACATACACACGAACACACATACACACGAACACACATACACACGAACACACATACACACGAACACGCATACACATGAACACACATACACACGAACACGCATACACACGAACACGCATACACATGAACACGCATACACACGAACACACATACACACGAACACGCATACACAAGAATACACATTCAGAGACACACAAAGTCACACTCGCACACACACCCTTTTGCGATATTGGGCTTGATGAAGCCTTCTCCTAAATGGCAGAAACTGTGATTATCCCAAACCCAACAACAGTTGTTCAGGCGAGAGCTTCTTCTCATCAGCCATGTTGGAAAGATTCTACAAACCCAAAGCTTTGGCTCTGAGAACAAAATCCTCAGAAGCAAACATTAAAACAGGAGAGTGGGAAACACACAACCACACCATTTTTGTCTTAACATAATACATTTAGACAACCCGTGTTATCAATCACTGATTCCAAAATTAATAGGATGTTTCTGCACATTTATATTTGAATACCCTATTCCTTATATCACATGTGCTTTTGTTCATTTCGAGACAAATTCCCTTTCTTTGCTGCAGCCCAGGTCCCACAGATGACTGTGCAGATGAACAGGTGTCCTCCCTATGAGCCCCTTATAGTTTATCTGTCTCCAATAGTGGAACTCGAGTTATTGAGTAGTGCTCAATTCCTGAGTTAGCTCAGCTGGTAAAGGCCTGTCGAGCAAGCACGAGGACCTGAGTTCAAATTCCTGGCAGCTACTTAAAGCTGAGTAAGGTTGCCCAGGTCTAACCCTAGCATGCTGGCCAGCCACGGTGGATAAGTGATGAACTCTGGGCTCAGTGAAAGACGATGTCTCAAGAGATAAAGTGGGACCAGTTGATGGTGGCGCACGCCTTTAATCCCAGCATTCGGGAGGCAGAGGCAGGTGGATCTCAGCGAGTTCAAGGCCCTGGTCTACAAAGCAAGTTCCAGGACAGCCTGGAGAGAAACCCTATCTTGAAAAACAAACAAACAAAAAAGAAAGAAAAGAGAAAGTGGGGGTGAAGTTGGGGCAGCAAGATGGCTTAGTGGTAAAGCACCTCCTCTCAGGTGATCCCTGACATTCACGTGACATAAGCAGGAAACCAACTCCCACAAGCTGTTCTCTGAATGTGAGTTATGGCACATTCCTCTGTGTGTGTGTGTGCACGCACAAGATAAACAGGTATTAAAGAGAAAAAGAAGATGAGGTAGGAAACAATAGTGGAAGTTGTTACACATCAACCTTTGACCTTCACACTTGTGGTACACACACATATAACACACTTAGTTACACACCACATACATGTGTACACACATTTGTTTTAATTTCTTTTTAAAAATATTTTTATTTATTTATTATGCATATGAATGTTTCATTTGCTGATGTGAGAGTCCCTTCTGTATGCTGTGAATATCATTGGTTAATAAAGAAACTGGCTTGGCAGAGTAGAACTAGATGGGGAAAACTAAACTGAATGCTGGGCAAAAGAAAGCAGAGTCAGGAGAAGCCATGTAGCCCCACTGGAGACAGATGCCAGAACTTTACCCAGTAAGCCATAGCCTCGTGGTGATACACAGATTAATTGAGATGGGTTAACTTAAGATATGAGTTATCCAGAAATACACTTAAGCTATTGGCCAAAAAGGATTGCAAATAATATAGTTTCTGTGTTGTTATTTCGGGGATGAGCAGCCAGGACAAACAAGCAGCCTCCTACAATAGTCTACATGTACATCTGTTTGCACATGTGTGCCTGGTGCCTGTGAAGATCAGAGAGGGCATGGGATCCCCTGGAACAGGAGTTACAGGTGGTTTTGAGACACCATGTGGGTGCTGGGAATTGAACCTTGGTCCTCTGCAAAAGCAATTAGTACTCTTAACCATTGAACCATTTCTCCAGCCCCTTGTTTTATTTTCTATCCCATGAATTCTTTCTTTTTTAACTTTTGAGACAGTGTCTCTCTATATAGCCCTGGCTGTCCTGAAACTCATGATGTAGACCAGGCTGGTCTTGAACTCACAGAAACCCACCCACCTCTGCTGGGATTAAAGGCACGTCCCTATGCCTAGTTTATTCCATGAATTTATACAAGCTTCAGGCACTGAACACTCAAGGCTGAAACAGGCTTTACAGACAACTGCTGTGGAGCTGATGCTTGGGTCTGGATTTCAGAGAAACAGATGATCTGCCCAGAGAACAGCAAAGGGCGAGGCAGGACCAGGAGCAGCAAGACACACGCTTGCCTAAAGACGAGTGTCAGAGATCCCAGACAACAGGGCGGAGGCGGCAAGGCTAGACACTCTCAGGAAGAAGTCTGACTTTAAAAGTCTTGCATGTGTTTCCCACTGGCATGGGGACTTGTGTCCTCGGGCTGCGCAGCACTCAGGAAGGCACCGGATTAACTGATATGCGTTATACGCAGTGAAGTAGTCAAACAGACTGGGTGTCGGGGAAGGATCCCGATTGATGGACAATGCAGCCCCACATCTGCTGGTCAGCATGTGTACGCTCGCACGGTTCAGCCTGGGGACTCCAGAGATCGGCCACCTTGGAACCAGTGGCCTGCTTCCAAAGTGTTCACTGCTCCATCTGGACTCCGGCCTCAGGCTGCCCTGATCAGACAACTCACATTAAGATTGCCAAAGGAATTTTAAACTCTGGTAAGATATTAAAGGCCTATGTCTTTTTCTGATTTCTTTATGACTGATCCTATGCTTTCTTCTCTTGAGCCTCTGAAATGGGGAGAAAAACAGTTTCCACAACACTGAACTGTGTACCTACGTGGCCAACCACACAGATTTAAATTTATTTATGATTAAAACTGTAAGACAACTGTGTGACCTGGCACCTTAGGTCTCTGGGGGACTCTCAATGGCGGGGAAGACAGGAGTGAGAGAACTTGGTTCTGTTTGAGGTCTCTGTCTTTGTGAAGAGAAGGGTTCCAATTCCCCAGCCTTCACTGGGCAGGTGAGCCTGTGGCCTGCATCCACACCCGCTCCACTGGCCTTTTCTTTCCTCCCCTTTCCCCCTCCCATTTCTTAGTCCTAACTTTCCTCAGATCTTAGAATATCTCGGCGTGGAATTAATAATGAGTATTAGTGGTGCTCTCAGTTGTAGAAGGATAGACACCCGTTCCCACTTTTCTTGTCCTTTCCTTCCTATGCGTTTAGTTGGTGCATTGCTTTGGCTGCAGGCCACCTTTCTGCCACTCAGCGGGTGAATGCGATTTCCAGTGACCTTCGGGATGAGCTGCTCTTACCTCCTGAGTGCTCATCTTCTAGATAGTTCCCCCTTTGACCCGTGGCATCAGAAGAGATCCCCTCACACTTGTTTGGCAGATTCTCAGAGACACTCTGAAAAAATTAATATCCAAAATTATTCCGCAAAGAGCCAATTGTTTCATAAGAAGGTATCTGAAGTTTTATTTATTTTTCTATATTTTTCCTTTGTTATTAAAAACCATTGACAATAAAAATGTCACACACCAAAATTAACCAGATCCAAAGACAGCAAAAGTTAATAACTTCTTACTGAAGTTCCTATTTCAAAAGACATTGTTTTAAAGTTAAGTATATGCTGAGTTCCAGAACATCTCTGTATAGCATCTTCTGTATGGTTTGTAGATCAAGCCAATACTTTTTCTTTATATGGTAACCAAGTCTTGCATATTAATCATGGGGCCCATGATCATCGCATATATGAACCAACGCTGAATGGCATGCACACCTCAACAGGGAACAACACTTAGGATCCCAGCTTCCAATTTGTATTTGCAGTGAAATTAAATGTCTATATAGAAATTTTAAATAAAATTTTGTATGTATACTGCCTTTAATATAGATGAGGGCAGAAAAAATTCTGTCTTTGAGGCACACACACACACACACAATGTGTAGTAGTGGTTGGTGACCTCATCACATTGCACACTTACCTCACCCTACCAAGTGCTTGGGTCACTAGCCTGTGCATAACCATACCCAGAAAACCCCCGACCCTGCTTTGGTAGTTAAGCTCCATATTCGCTATGATGAGAAGTACCGGATTGCATCCTGGTGAACATAGCATGGGGTTGTAGAACCTTCATTTAGATAAACAAGAGCTTAGATGACCTAGATATACAGTGGAAAAATACTGCTGGGAAGTGGTTGACTAACATGTGAAAAAAACCTTTATGTGAAACACCCCTAAGAGGAGCTGGAGAGATGGTTCAGAGGGTAGGAGCTCTGGCTGGTCTTCCAGAGGAGCCAGGTTCAATTCCCAGCACCCGTGGGGTAGTTCACAACCTTCTGTAGCTCCACTTAGACATAACTGCACTTAAAATAAAAATAAATCTATAAGAGACTATCATGCAAATATTAGACCTGCCATGGACTCTTTCTTCAGTACATAAAAACTACGAAGTATTTCAAGTCTAGAGAAAAAGGAATGTTAGGAACAATTACTTACACACAGCATGGTGGCACATACCCTGAATCCCAGCACTCAGGAGACAAAGGCAGGTGCATCTTTGTGAGTTCAAGGCCAGCCTGGCCTACAAAGTGAGTTCCAGGACAGCCTGAGATACACAGAGAAACTCTGTCTCGAAAAACCAAAAACCAAAGCAACCAACCAAACACAACAACAACAAACAACAGTTACTTATTAAATATTTACAAAATGCCAGGTGCTTCTAGTATCTCAAGTGACACGGTGGTTTAGGGAGCTGGTGCCATGGCATTATCTTCCATTGCTTAGGAAATAGAGCAGTCTCCATGGCTATGAAATATCCTGCATAAATAACCAGATATATGACTAGGTAATATCACACCTAAATAACCCGGCCTTTACTAGCGAATACTTTTCACTAAGAGAAAATCAGAATGAAACTCATGTCAGCAAAAGAGCAACTACCTCGTTTTCAAGGTTTACTTTCTCCCAGGCCAGGATTTCTTCCTCTAATATTTGGAACTCACTGTCGGACAGCCTGTCCTGACGATCTTCATCCGCCAAAGCGCTTGCGGTCCTGCCACCAGGCGGCGCGGCACTGGCGGTTCTTGCCGTTTGCGCAGGGGCCTCGCAGTTGCTGTGCAGGGGCTTCTGGGTCAGGTCCGGTGTGCCTTTACTTTTCTTATGAGTATCGGGAAGAGTAGAATCACTCCAACTGTTAAATTCACTCGTGTGACTCCCTTCTGTGGACTCTGAAAGCCTTTTGGAGTCACTGGATTTCGACATGGGTCTGCTATCCAACTGCCAGGCCATGTGTTTTGGTCTCAGAGTTTTTTGCAACTGGCTCTTGGATTCACAGCCGTCTTGCTTTCCTCCCATACATGCTTCTGGGCATTGACCGCTACTCTTCCCACTTTCTGTAGTTTTAGAAGATTTCTCCTTGCTTTTATGAAGGGATTCTTCTGTTTCGGACTTGTTACTTTCATGGTCTAATTTATGTTTCATTAAGGGAGATTTAGTGACTGACTGGCCACTGTGTTCCAAGACCTGAGAGAAAGAGGGAGACGGAAAGATGTTTCTAAGGCCACCCTCCTTCTGTCTGGGATAGTTCTGCAGTGTTACAGCGGCCAGTGCAGCAGCTGTGTCTCTGTCCTCACGGCCAAGCATATCCCAGGCCAGTTTAGGGGTGGCCAACTTCAGGGACGTTTTTCCTGTAGAGTCATCCCGTGCTTGCTCTTCCTCATGGTGAACAGTAATTTTGACAGCTTCACGGATCTCACTGACCTTCTGGCTTAGCTTATTTGTGGCAAGCTGTCCAGTGTCTTCACCTTCCAGTCTGTCTCCACCTATCAACACTCCCCTGAGCACTTTCCCCTTGCCAGATCTTGAGTATCCATCTTCTCCATCAGAAGCCGTGCTCCGCTCTGGCTCCTGGTCTTGCTCGTGGAGTTGTAAAGGTGGGGAGCCCCTCTGCTTGACTTGACGCTGGGATGCTCTCTGTGCCAAGGGATGCTTCTCCAGCTTATCCTTGTCCTTGGAAATCATAGGGCATGAACAAAAATCATTAAATAATTTAACACATACCTTTAGCTTTTCATTATATACAGTTAGTTACACAAAAATCACAACAAGCAAGACTAACAAATAAAACTAGTTTAGGGCTGGTGAGATGGCTCAGAGAGTAAATAAAAGTGTGTGCCACTGAAGACTGACAATCTGAGGTCAACCTCCAGAACCCACAGGGTAAAGAGACAACCAGGCCTCCCCCCCTGTTGTTCTCTAATCTTCTTGGGGTGCTGAGACATGTGCACGTGCCCACACATACAGCAAATATGTGTAAAAAATATCTCATTTACATTAGTCCTCCCAGGAGACTTAACACTATCACTACTATTTAGACTAATCCTCACTTGGTATATGTTAGGTAATTTTAAATACTACAAGAACATTCTCACATAAAAAGATTTTATTTCACCATTCTTTAAATATTGAGCCCTGCTGTTCACTGACATTTAATCTCTGAAAATCAGTAACTGAATAGTACGAGAGCTAAGATATCCACCATCAAAACGGCGACACCGTGTGTGCAAAGACAGATTAACATAGAAGAAAACAATTTCAACATGGTGTTTGAATAGCCTGCAATTGTGACGGTTTCCTAAGTTTTCCCAGGCAAGATACAGCTTAAAGAATTACAAAGGAGGAGCATCACAACATCAGCATCCTGAGCTCAGGAGACAGCCAGTCTGAAGATGCTCTTAGCACCTCTGCTGCTATTGTGGCTCAAGAGGCTGGTTGCTGATACAGTACAGAAATATGTGGCCTGTATAATATTGCCCCAGAGGAGTTCGATTCTCAGCATCCACATGGTGACCCCAGTTCCAGGCTTCTATGGGCACTTCATACAGGTGGCGCACATACAAGCAGGCAAAACACCCACAGACATAAATAAAACTGATAATAAATAAAACTGATAGTCTGAACTTCTTTTCTGAATCTCATTAGGACTCTTACACAGCAAAATATGCCAAAGAATCATAGGGTGCATCAAGTAACCTGGAATCATTCTTCAGACCGTAGATAGCAGTCACAGCACATAGTGATCCTCGCAACTTCTACGGCCGCATACTGAGGTAGCAAGCACACACTACCTGTTAATTCTACAGGAGGAACATGAGGAAATAATTCTGGGCAGAAATGTCACTTTCTTTCCTGGACCTGCTTATTTGCTGTTCCGTATGTCTCTTGTACACTGATAGGCATCTCTTCTTTAGGTTAGGTACATCTTCCATATTTAGTTGAAAATATTTTCTGTGCCATTGCCCTGGGTTTCTTCTCTTCTTTCCTTGCTATTCCTAGGTTTGGTCTTTTTGATAGTGTCTCAGATTTCCTGGATGTTTTGTGTCTGGATGTTTTTGGATTAAATTTTTTTTTAAATAAGCTACCCAGTTCTTCTATCTTGTCTTTAATGCCTGAGAGTCTCTCTTCCCTGTCTTTTAATCTGTTGTTTGACATGCTAAGTTTTTCATTTCCAGTTTTATTTCAGTTTGGGCTTTCTTAGTGATTCTATTTGTTAAATTCTACTTTTGTGGTTTATGTTGTTTTCATTATTTCTTTCAACCATTGGCTTGCATTTCTACGTATCCATTAAGGCATTTACTAATATCCCCTCTAAGGTCTTGAACATATTCACAATTGCTATTTTGAAGCCATTGTCTTGTGCCTCAGCTAAATTGCTTTTCTCAGGGCCTATTGCAATTGGGTTGCTGGCTTCTGGAGGAGGCATATTGCCTTGAATGCTTGTGTTTTTGTTCTGGGGTCTAGGCATCTGGAGTGATGATATTTGAGGTGTTACTTGGTGTAGATGTCTGGTCTCATTTCTGTTGGTTGGATGATTGATTCTTTGGTTGCTGTTGCTCGCCCTGGGTCCTGGGTGATGGCTGTGGGATCCATGTGCTCCCATGGGTGGTGGGGGTATAAAGGCATGGAGATGAGCGAGAAGGAAAGGGTGAGGGGGCAGCAGGAAAGAGCTAGAGGGAGCCTGGGTCCCCACCAAGGGGTGGAGTCCCCAAGAAGTGGAGGTGAGGTGTGAGGAGGGCTTCTGCTGCGCAGGCCTGAGTTCATCTGGAGAGAAGAAGATGAAAGCGTTAGGGGACCTGGATCAGCCAATTTATGTGGTGTGAGAAATGGAAAACCTTATTTTAGAATCCCCCGGTTTTCCTAATTCTGTATCGGCAGCAGGCACACAGTTCCTACTTCTTAGCTTTGTCATATGCCATGGAAGGTAATAATTGGACAAAAAACTACTAAAATCATAAATCTATCACCATCCAAATCTTTGATTTATAAGCCTTCAAGTACTTTCCAGATACTGTTCAAAGTTGGAAACTTGGGTCCAACACTGCCACACCGCACTGCTCAGTTACACACGCAGCTGTGGCATTCACAGACGCTAAATCTCCACACGTGGGTTCTTTTGGGGTCAGGAGAATATAATCGTGAGGATTTCTGGGTTTTAAAGCTGACAGAGTTTTATGTTAATATTTAACTGTCAGTACTGAGGCGCCGCAGCCGTGTGGTGGAGCACTAATTACAGACACTTGGGCCTGGGCTCTAACAGCCCAGTTCAAAGGGGGAAACACAATAAATACTAATGTCAGTCCCACTCTTTGCGAGGGCCACCAGGTGGCTTTACTAGAGGAGACCCTTGAAAACGCAGACAGGGGCTTTCCAGAGGGAGGTTTGTAGATTCTGTTGCTCATCTTGCTTTCATTCTTTGCTGACAGATACTGACTCTTAGAACACACCACGACTCCGAAGTGGTCACTGCATATTCCACACATCTTTGTGCAATGTGGTGGCAGTGTCAGGAGAAGACAAAGCTGAGTGCACACAACATGCAGCATCCACATTTTAAAATCTTTCTTTTCCAAGTGTCGCAGATGAAGAATCTTGTCCAGTGCTGAGGCTGTGGCTCAGGAGATGGACTTCCTACCACACCCTGAAGATAGATTGCAGGAATACAGCTGACCCCTTCATTACTAGGCTGCAAATAATGCTTGTTTTTCTTACGATATAATTAATTTTCCTACAGTCCCGCAGTACGGGCTAGAAAGATGCACTGGGCAGTTAAGAGCACTGGCTGCTCTTCCAGAGGTTGGTTTCCCAGCACCCACACAAGGCCCCTCACACAACCCACACACAGCTGCCTAACTCCAGCTCCAGAGGATCCAGCACCTCTCTCACCTCCATGGAAAAGAGCACACGGGTACACATATGCACGCTTGCACATACACACATATAATAACAAATCTTTCTAAAACTCTACATACTAATAAAACAAAAAACATTGAAGGAATAAAAATTTACACGTTTCTGCTAGGTAGTTAGAACCATGGGACACCAGAAAAATTCCTTGATCACTATGATAAGTGACTATATTAAAATTTTTGATTTTTTTTATGTGTATGAGTGTTTTGTCTGCATGCATGCCTGGGCACCATGTGTGTACCTGATTTCTATTGAAGTCAGAAAAAGGTTGCTGGGAGTGGTGGCGCACACCTTTAATCCCAGCACTTGAGAGGCAGAGGCAGTTGGATCTCTGAGGTTGAGGCCAGCCTGGTCTACAGAGTGAGTTCCAGGACACTCAGGGCTGTTACACAGAGAAACCCTGTCTCAAAAAACCGAAGGGAGAAAGAGAGAGAGAGAGAGAGAGAGAGAGAGAGAGAGAGAGAGAGAGAGAAGAAGAAGAA